TTAAACATGAATAACGTTAACCGAAAGGCTTTAAGTCAATATAAAAGTATCAACGTGATTCTGTGTGAAGTCAAGATTTGACTCGCTTAACAATTTCTAACACTAACTTTACTATTTCACTAATACTGTTGTAAATTGATTTATTATTTATAAATATCAATCACAATATCATCGAAAGAATAATCAGAATGTTCTAAACTCTTAGTGGAATCTTAAATCTCGTTCACTATCATCTCAATCTTTATCATCCAATTATTAAAATTATAACATATTCAGTTACATATTTCTACCCAATATAAATATAGCAATCGAGTCCTAAAAATTGTTTTCTTACGTTTTTAGTCAGTATATTGCCTGAAATTATAAAATTATTCTTGTACATTACTTAAGCGAGACTATAATTTATGGACGAATCAATCAGGTATAAGATGAAAAGGTTTTGAATTTTGACGCAAAATTCATTCATCAATTTGGCAAAATAGAATTTCGGCATTATAGTTTATGTCAGTTTGTGATGAAAACCTTAAATATAATTATTAACCTTAATCGTCAATTATAAATCACAATTCGGAATCCTCACACAGGTTTTAGTTATTAGATAGGTTATTAGGTGGACAATCTCAAGGTCACTTTAGCGTCTCTGAAAGGTCGTCCATAAATTGTAGTCTCACCATTACTTGCATTCCAAAGAACTAGTCTTTTAGTCATCTACTTATCTAATGAACTACTTGTTCATGATTTAAAAGTTTTTAACATTTTCTTCCATTAACAAAAATTCATCAAATCCATTTAAAACATATTTTGTAAATGTCAATGAAATCTCTCAGTAACCTCATTTTTTTTCTCAAAATATCCATTCACAACTTAGTTATAATATTTTACATAGATTTAAGATACAAATGATTCTTTTCAAGTTAAATTTGAAATTATCCTTTCATACATCTATCTTTAATTGTTTATTAATTAATGTAATCAATGACCTGTAAATAAATATAATATTATGATACATATTATATAAGTAGATACAAGTATACACTCAATATACTACTTATTTTTCTTGTCAGTATTCCAAAATAATCGATCTTTTTTTAAATGTCAGTAGTATTTGTTTAACTATATCATATTTCATATATGATTCATAGATATTTAAATATTGTTTTTAATAGGACGAAACGGACGTCCAGTGCTCCCAGGTTTTCCAAGGTGATCTAGCTTCAACTGACTCATGATCTTAAAAATTGAAATAAGTAATTATTTAAATTGTGTTTTTTTTTATAAAAAAAACATACTTTTCCGGTTATTTAAATCCTACTGTTTTTCTCATCAATATTCAATATTTATCTATTAAGAGTGTATATTCTGAGTTATTTCTATTTATAAATATTAATTTAATTTCCGCTATAATTCATACTGCTCTGAGTATTATATAGTTGGTTTAAATACATAGATATTCTATATTAATTATTATTTTTTTAAATATTGATTATTTAAATTAAAATTTTCCAAAATTAGAATTTAAAACAATTTTTTATGGCAAAAGCTTACTATTATGACGATGATTGATTTATGTATATTGATTTTTAATTAGAATTTAATTAATAGGAAATCAATTAATCAATTACTTAATTTTATGATATAAGTTTTTATTATATTTAACATGGTGAGTCTATAATTTATGAACGAATCAATCAGGTATAAGATTAAAAGGTTTTGAATTTTGACGCAAAATTCATTCATCAGTTTGGTAAAATAGAATTTCGGCATTATAGTTCATGTCAGTTCATGATGAAAACCTTAAATATAATTATTAACCTTAATCGTCAATTATAAATCACAATTCGGAATCCACACACAGGTTTATAACTCATTTAGTTCTAGTTATTAGGTGCACAATCTCAAGGTCACTTTGACGTCACTCAAAAGTCAATAAATTATAATCTCACCGTGTTCTAATACACTTTGATCTACTAAGTATGAATAATTTTATTCATGACAGAAATGTTTAAGTAAGTTTTAGTAGAAATTAAATCTGAAACGATATATTCAAGATAGAAGCTAATGATCTTAAATAATATATTGAATAATATATCGTAGGTTTTCAACAGTGCTCTAATTAAGATCACTTTGTGATTGAATCAATAAAAACTCCTATAATTTCCACAAATCTATTATTCTATGTGCTCATTAAAAAGTTGCATAAAGATGTAGCTCCAGGAGTCCTAATGAGAAGTTATGATCATTTATCCACAACAAGCAGTGGATAACAGTTGTGCAATATCATGTCTTAATTGGAATTAAACAGTAACACCGTTGGATGGTAGGTCAGCAATCTATAGATTGAGTGTTCACACGTGACACTTGAGGTTCGTTGATGCGCACTGCCGAAGAGTTTCATACTAGAAAGAAATGGGACTTTCGGTGCTTCCGTATTTCCATCGATAGTCTTGCTAAGATATTAGTTCATGATTGAAACTGGGAAATGCTATGTGTTGAATTTCATATTTGGATGAATTTGTTGAAAAATGAAATTATTCCACATTCTCAAATAAAAGTAACTTGTTAATATGAGTTTTAATTAATCTAAATAACTACATTTTTCTTACCATTTAACTACGAAACAATTAAAATCGACCGATTTAAAATTCCTCTTAGATTATGTACACAAAAATGCTCGAAATCGCTTTACAATACACAAGTAAATGTATAAGTAATTATGGGACAAAGTCTGATTTTTCGCACAGAAAACAGTTCTTGCTTCTTCACCAACAGTAGTACTTTTAAATGATTTTCGAACATTTCGAAGATTTTTTACCACATGGTCATGTCACTTGAATAAACAATCTAAACCAAAAAGCAGCGATCATTTGGTAAATTATTGTTTAAATTGTCAAACAAAATCCAAGGTATTCAGTTTTATGGTACATAATCGTCATTTTATTTGAAACTTTTGCATAAACTTGTGTAAATTTCCCATTCAAAGTTTTATCACTAGTTAATATCATCTAAACTGACATGTCTACTTCAGGGGATATCTCACTAATATATTTTCACAAGATATTAACTGTGTTTAAATATTGAAAACGGTAAATTTGAACTAACAACTCATATTTTTTTCACATTTTTTTTCCATCTGTCAGTGTTTACTTTTATTCTATATCCGGTTTGCATAGACGAATTTTTTTCTTATTTAAAAAAAATTATTGTTAACTAACATAGCAACAAGAATAAATTCTGTCTTTTTACATTATCCACCCATATCAACATTTTAATTAAAAATTATATCATTACAATCTTCTCTTTATAATTTCCTATTCAGTTGATCTTATCACATTGTCATTTATTAGCCAAAATTCATCTATAAAGAAAAATTTGAAAATTCCATGAAATTTAATTAAAATAAATTTAAACAATGAACAGAGAGACAGTAAAGAGTAAATAATTTGTCGCGTATATATATATATATATATATATATATATATATATATATATATATATATATATATATATATATATATATAAATCGAAATTTTCGGCAAATAATAAATGCATAAATTTGTTTTACGGTTTATTATCATTCTACCCCATGTTCGTAAACATATAACAAGTTTGTATACTATTAGTATACTAGTTGCTTTGTTTATTGTTTATACATTGGACATTAATAATTACAATGAAATTTGCTACAAAATGAAATAGTTAGATAAAGATTCTATATAGAGACAAAAACAGAATATTCGATAGGAGAACATTTAAAAGTAAACAAATAAAGGTTTAAGTTAATGGATAACAAAGAAACAAAATAAAATATATTGATGAAAGCTTGTAAAAATACTGTATAGAACTGCGTTTTGCTTTTTATGTTTACTAAAACAGTTGTTTTGTTTTTCTTTCCTCAACAAAAAAAAAGAAATAGCAAATGCAATCAATTAGGTTTATTGCAAAGTTATGGATTTGATGAATGTGAATATGTATTTACTTGGTATGTCGTTATTTATGACGTTTAAAGGATTATCCTGGATATTTCTATAAATCTACATTTGCCTTTAGTGTTAACTATTTTAAGGATTTATTTGAAGGAAATATTAGTTTATTGCAATCGTTCGTTATATTTTTTTCATCACTTTCTGTCGGTCATATTCTCACTGTCTTCTGTTCTCGTTTTTTTCACAACGACAAACGTATATTTATATAAGATCTAGTGTAACAATTTCAGTTACTAACAAGATAACAACTGTTGTTAATAATTAATTGTTTTATCTATGTTAGCGTTTATGAAAATTGAATGTTAGCGATACATTCAAGTCCAATATTGCTCTCCAAAATATACATCAAAAATTTATTTCAAACTAGTATTAATTTCTAAGAGAAACTTCATGCTCTCATGATTGATATTCTTCATAGAGTTTAATAAGTCTTTATTAGTATATGATGATCCTGATCTGGGTTGACTCTATATAGTGTGTTTTTATCACAAGTTTTAGTTCAGTTGAAATGTAGTTTACAGTGAGATTCAATAAACATGTTTCGTCCAATTGAAAATTTATCAACAGGTTGGACCATAACAATGATGTAGATGTTAAGAGTTGGCAAGTTAAAAACTAGACTAACAAGTTTAGATTATCACTAACTTGTTAAATCGATTTGAACTTACTTGCAAGGATTTATATTCGTTTAAAATATATGTATACATTCAAACGATATCACCCATAAGTGAACGATAAAATAACCTATTTCCAAATCATTTCACCTAGATCCTTATAGTTTTTTGTAAACTTAGACTTTAATATATAAAGACTTAAATAATTGTGTACAATGAGATGAAATATTGTTCATATGCGTTAGTATATAATCAACTTAGTAAATAATAATGAAAGGTAAGAATTGATAATTCTGGTTTATTATTATTCAAATTTAAGGTAGTTTCTTACCACTTGTTTTAAAGTTAAGTCATTTCTCACAAACATTTTTCTTTTTTTTTGTTTTTTTCTGTAATCAATTAGATAACGTTAAATTTCATGGAAATATCAGGAAACATTTCAAGAGTTAATCAATAAACGGTAAGTTTTTTTAATCTTAACGTGAAATATTTGTGCAAATAAACAAGAATGTTTCATGCATTTATGTTGATAAAACTAAATTTATCAGAAATTATATTCAGGTATCCAAATATATGGTTGTAGGGATTACTAATTTATTGATGTCATTCAATAATATATGTATTGGCCAGTTGAGTTCAACTGGGCGTGTTGTGAGATAGTAATGGTGGATGTATCGCTCAATTTCGTGGATTAGTTGAAGTTAGACATTAACACCGTTGGATGCTGGCCGGCTCAGTGGTCTAGTGGTTAAGCGCTCACACGCGAGGCTGGTAGGTTCAGCGTTCGAATCCCGTGAGGCGAGGCGGGATCGTGGATGCGCATTGTTGAGGTAATCCACAATAGGACGAAATGGCCAGATTATTTTTTATCTTCTGAATATTACATATGATCGGATTGTTTAATATAAATTTATGTTCTATAGTTATATTTTAAATTATCCAAGATTGTTTATAATTTAACACTTTAACGAAAATCTGGATAATTAATTTATTGATGAAGAGTTTACTACAGCTTGTATTTTATTGGCTAATATTAGTGTTAAATTCTAAAATATTACATGTTGTAGCCATTTTGAGTCAATAAAAGTTAATTTCATTTTCCTAGAAAGTTTGTTATAATATGCGAATTCAATGACAGTGACTGGACACTATAGAAATCACATATATACACCATTTAGGTTAGCCGTTTACAATTACATGACATTTCGATAGTGTAATAAAAAGACGAAGATCATCAGTTACATAACAATTTCTCTTATTATCGATTAATGGATCCATCTTATTTGAAATTTACAATTCAAATGTAATTATAATGTTATATGGAAATAAATACAGAGAATCTAGAGAATACTTAGATTCTGATATATTGACAAAGCATAAAGAACGTTTTTTCATAAAATTTTTATTAACAGACACTTGCATAACTCAAAGAGTAGTCTGCTTACAAATATCTAAAACAAATTATATAATAGAGTATCTAAAAAATCATAGGTTGAACGTTTTTACAAGTCGCTTATATGACTTCTAAAAAAAGCCGAAATTTCAAATCACTCTCACTATTTGTTTAAATAAACTAATGATATATGCCGTATTTATTTGACATTTGTTATTGCCGCTTGTTTACTCTACTTTTTATAAGAAAACACATTACAGTACTGTTGATACTTCTTTAAACTCAAACAATACACTGCCAGAATTTGTAAGAGTAATGACTGTCAATATTTCTATTCTACCTATTTGTCTATTGGTTAACTATATGATTTATTCTTATCTCTTTCTTTCTCCCAAATAATCTAATCATCAATTACCTTTATTTCAATTGATTTTGACAGATTCATGTCCTCTTTGTTAAGTCTTGTTCTATTCAAATATGTATATATGTATATAAATGATAAGTAATGACATTCAAATTCTGAGGAACTGTCTAGTTTAATTAAGTTATAAAATTTCTCTTCTTTTCATATTGACTCATCTTAGATAAATGAACGGATTAAATAGATATTTAAGACAAAATTATATTGCTACTGGTTGTTCTCTTGACGTTAATTATACAATTTAGTTATTTAGTTTAATGATAAACTGGAAGCATCAACCGAGAAAATAATATTAAGTTGAAACTAAACTCCATTGCTAAGTAATTTTCTTACGAGTGTGGCTATTTAGATTATAGTTTATCATAGATGGCTTTATATATATTTAAGAGGAGTTCAGGATACATTATAAACTATGAATATGTTCATTGGACAACAAATAAATCTTAAAGACATTTCAACCAACCAGTTGTGAATAAAATTAGTCATGATTACTGTAAACGAAAGTAAATTTGATTCAGAAACTGTACAGTCTTCAAGTGTACAACTGTGAAACATCAGTCGTTTGCTAAAGGAATAAGTATTGTATTCACCATCTTTAGTAAAACACATGGCGACAGTCTGACAGTTTGAATGGTACGGATAAATATACATTAAACTAAGTTATCACTCCATCATCAGATGTACTTACAATTGATTATTACCCTAATCAGAGCATTTGTTCGTTAGTAAACACACTAAAGTTTATTTAAACAGTAGACAATCGTGACAGTTAAAGAGCATGATCTGTTTATTAAGTTTAGAATAGACCATATATAGGCATACAGCATTCAATGACACATTCACTGATCATTTACAACTATATTTTATCAAATATTCTCATTATTAAACAAAACTACTTCAATTAACTACTTTTTTGTACATGACAAAATGTTTAGTAACTTGAAAATGATCATTCTAAGTATTTTTCATCTATAAAAAATATCTTACAAAATTTCATTAAATGGCGCCAACTACACATTCATTTAATTATTATAACTTTTAATAAATAAATAGGAAGCTATTTCAGTAGTTTACTAATTAACACAGATTGAGTGTTGTATCCTCTTTTATTCAAACTTGAAGTACATTTAAACTATTCACATTTACTTGTCAATAATATTTTTTTAAACATAATTTAGAAAAACATATGGATTATATTTAATTAAGAAAACAAAAAAGAGTAATATCTTTCAATGATCATAAATAAATAAAAAGTAATTCATTAAATTATTAATTATAATGATTGTTTTTAAAAACAATGGTGTACAATTCAATTGGATGTTCCTTTATTTATTTTTTTCTATTATACTTTTCAGTGCATCTTTTTGTGAGTCCGGTTTGATCTCAACATATATATCTTTCAATTTGTCTGTATATGCGTGTGAGGTGAACGTTGTCTGATAGATAAATAGTAGACAATGTTATGATAACCGAATCGGATATGAAATTGTTACTGAGTAAACTTATGTTGTTGTTTTTCTAAGTGAACAATAATTTAGAAGAGAAAGTGGAGCCATTTGAATGTTGGTAATTTAATAGTTCATATAATCACTTTTTTTAAATAACACAATAGTTGTTTATTTCTATAAAGAGATAATAATAATTCAAGAATACGACAATGAGAAATGTAATATTCATTCATTCAACTTAGAGACGGTCAAACGAAAACGTAGCATCAGTGCTCGAAGTCATTAGTTTCTAGTTTTAATCATGTTAGTAGATGCAGATTACTTGGTTGGGGTCCGCGTTACTATTGTAACCAATGGTTGGAGACTCTGGGTGACATGGATCAGAATCAATCACAATGGTGTAAGTGTGTACACTCTCTGTCTTCCCTTAAACTATGGGATTGAACTTGCTTTTTTTTCTTTCTACCAACTAATTCTTTCTTTCGTTATACACAATCTTTTTTTATATATTACTCGCAATGAAGTAAAAGCTTCTATGAATTCAGTGTTAATCTTGTTGTGAGGCAATAAGGTGTGGCAATTTGGACCTATGCGTATATGTGCCTGGTCCTATATTGTAGCTAACAGACTGACATTCAAACAACTTCGTTTTTAATACTTGCAATTAAACTTTCAATGTTTATTACTCCATGGACAATGAACTTTGTCTAAAATTCAATATAACCTTGGTAACTAGACGTATTAAATTTCAATTTTAGAGATAATAAAACTAACTTTTAAATTAGAAACTTTCATAAAGAGACTAAATGAATAATTTTACGATTTAAAAATTGTGTTCACCATGAAGTGATTTCACTAAAAATCGAGAAGTACTGAATCATCAACTTATTGATTATACTTTATCCACTTCTCGCTAAAGAATAAAATAAATTTTTAATTACATTGCAAATCAAGTGAAGTTGTGAATTTGAATTTGTGGATGCTAACTCAAATGTTTTATGTTATAGTGTCTCAAGTAATAATTCAACGTACTTCTTTTATGCCCGGGCAATGGACAGGCCTATGCTCCATTAGAAGTAACAGGCGTAAGTAAATAATGGACAGGCAGTGTTTGGTAGTCTCAAAGTACAGTGACATAGCCCTTTAAGCTAAAATGTTATATACCTTCGCCATCTGGCGTGTTTATGCGTATCCTTTGCCAAAGTATTTGGAGCACAGCTAGTATTACCAGGAAAGAACTCAATATGAATTCTGTTCTGTAATTCATGTTTCTCCGTAGTCAAGTTATACATTTTATTCACACGTACATGGTTAATTACTTGACATTTTTGTGTTTCATTTTCTTTGAACACTATTAATAGAGTAGCTAGATGATCATTTAGTAAATTTTGCATATTCATTCATCATAATTTTCCTTAAAATGCCCTTAATTCACTGATATAAACGCATGTATTGTGTGTAAATTAGAAAGGTCAGTTAATAAGGGTCAGAATGATTTAGAGTAGTGTCAAGTCACAAACAGTATAACAGTAATACAATAAAAATGAAAATGAAAAACAAATCGTGTGAGTAAAATATATAATAGCAGAATTTCATCTTATTAATTGATGTAATAGTGTATCTAGTAATAATAATATAGTTGTGTCAATATCATATGTAATAAGAGCTGAAGTTATCGAAAACAACTTTTCGCTCAAATTTTCTCCATTTTTCAATATTTTATGGGGATTTTTAAACTACTCGGTAAATCCTCAAAAAAGATCTTCAAAAATTTGGAAGATGGCGAATTTACTGCTATCGATTAGAGTTCTCTGTAAATCTCCAAAGGATTCCTAAAAATCAAACGATTTTATTACTATTATTATTATTAGCCGATTACTTTTTTACTTTACTTGAATATTTTTTTATGGTTAGCGTTTTCTACGGGGTGTGGTCGCTAACCCAATGACCAAACATCCTCCTTTATCCGGGCTTGGGACAGGCAGTATCCCCAGGGGGCTCCAATGTTTGCATGGTTTTTAGAAGCTTTTGAAAGGTCAGGGTTAAAGTTTGTACTTCATATACCGTTACATTTTGAACATGGATTAACCTTATAAGTAAAACATTTTTTTGGCAAAACAGTGAATTTTGCGTTCTGGATTCAAGAAAAGTTAATTTATGGGTACTAAAAAGCGTTTAGGAAGTATACCAATTAATAA